GAAAATACCAGATCTCACTGTTTTTAAAAAGATATATATGCATGACAACATATATATATATATATATATATATATATATATATTTCTTGGCTGGATGATTCTGAAAATTGCATATACATCTCCGGTCGTGTCGCTTTCGAATCTCATTCGCGATAAAAAGATTAAAAAAAAAATCACAAGCAATAAAATGAGCTTTTGACGAACTAATCAATTGTAGAGTGATGTGTATAGCTGCTAGACAGATGCGTAAAAGTTTGCGAGATATATAGATAGATAAGGAGAGAGAAAGAAAGAGAGAGAGAGAGGGGGGGGGGGGTGAGATAGATAGATATATAATAGAAAGAGAGTGAGAAAGAAAGACAGACAAACAAACATAGTCCAAATAATACGTGGTCACAATGGACGGAATCTATTCAGAACAACGTGGAGGAAATTGTACCACGTCTTTTCTCCCCACTTAAAATATGAAGGAAAAATATGTAACTGGTGAGTTCCAATGAGTTTTACTTTTTTAATACATTTAGCCACATGCTGGGAAAAAAATGTGCACCTGTATGCGGCATTTCACTTGAGAACGAAACTAAAAGATAATGAAATTTTTACACAAGGATGACATGACACACGAAATGCAGCACGTGTCATATCTCTCTCTTTCTCTCTCTCTCTTCCTCCCCCACTTTCTCTCTCTCTCTCTTTCTCTGACGTTGTCTTTCCCTCTCTGACTCTCCTTCCTCCCACTTTTTTTTCTCTCTCTCTCACACTTTTTCTCTGTCTCTCTGTCAGTGTCTGTTTATGTTTCTCTATCTCTTGATTCTTTAAGATATTGCCACAGAGATACGAATACCCTTGCTATCTCCTCGCCAATATTACCATAAAAATAATCTTCAGTCTAAATCAAAAGTAAAAGTTCATTCGCAACAGTTCAGGCAGTTCGTCTCCAATATTAGTGCAATCACAACCCACATTTCCCATAACCAGGATTGCCGTAGATCGAGGTCGAAGATGTTCCATATTGATGGGAAGCAAATAACCACCTGCAGGGAAGGGAGGTATTGGTGTCATAATGAGGAACACGGCAGGATTATCTGTTTCAGTTATGTATGTAAGAATGACCGCTGTGTAGCATAATGATATTAAAGATAATGATGATAATGGTTGTGATACTAGTGTTAAAAATAATGGTTGACTCTCACTTCCTCTCATACACACTCTCTCTCTAACCCTCCCTCTCTCCTCGTTGAATGTCTCTCACTCTGTCTGTGTCCTTTCATTGAGCCACTGTCTATCTATCCTTACCTGTCTTTCGATACCTGTCTTTATCTCGCCATTCCTCCCTTCCTTTGTCTCCTCTCCTTCCCCCATTCTCTCACCTTCCTTTTTACCTCCTCATCTCAACTTGACTATTTTTACGTCCTGGAATCAACGCTGTCGCCTTCGACTTTGTCCTCAAGGAAATGGATGAGGAGGACTGCCTCTTCCCCCTTTCTGTCTCTGCAACACTGCCTCTTCCCCCTTTCTGTCTCTGCAACACTGCCTCTTCCCCCTTTCTGTCTCTGCAACACACGCATTACTCGCGAGGGAGCAACAGCCGTGGCAGTTGCGCGAGGTGGATCCTGAGGAATGCACGTGTTGAAAAGGGGATTGGATAGAAGAGATAGGGAAGAGAGATGAACAGAAAAGAAAATGGATAAAGGAGATAAGCGGGTGAAAAACAGAAGAAAGAGATAATAAAACAGATGAAAGAGACAAGAAAAACAAATAAAGAAAATAAACAATAAAAAAGATAAGAGTAATAACTAGGCAGATAAAAGAGGCAAGTAGAGCAGATAAAGAAGATAAACAGAAAAAAAGTAGATAAAAGAGATAAACAAATAAAACATATACATATATACATATATACAAATTCATAACCATATACCTACATACATATGTGTATAGGTATATATATACATATATACCCATATCTATTAACAAGATGAAGAATTTCGGATATGAAGGCAAAATTTCCTAGGCCAGATCGAGGCTTCGGCGGCCAAGATTAACCAAATGAAAATTCACGCTCGGAAAACTTACCCATAAGTTGCAAGATGAAATATTCAATGCAAGTTTAAAGCTCCGTTTTTTTTTTTTTTTTTTTTCCTTTTTCTAAGTTTTATATTTTAGAAGTTTGTTTTTAGATTGAGAAAAAAGAGACAGGGAGAGAGACGGAGAGAGAAAAAGAGAGAGAGAAAAAAAAGAGAGAGAGAGAGGGGGGGGGTAGACGGAAAGACACACACACAGGTAGACGGAAAGAGACATAGAGAGAACGGAAAGAGAGAAAGAAAGAGAGAGAGAGAGAGAGAGAGAGAGAGAGAGAGAGAGAGAGAGAGAGAGAGAGAGAGAGAGAGAGAGAGAGAGAGAGAGAGAGAGAGAGCCAGACAGACATACAGAAAGACAGGCAGGCATAAATACCAATACAGAGTGAGAATCAAGAGAGAGACAGACAGAGACAGAATGGCAA